AAAATTATTTTTTTTTTTTTTTTTGGTTTTTTTTTTTTTTTTTTTTTTAATCAACAAAGTGAAAACATCTTGTCATTACTTTGTACGAAAAAGTTCAAAAATATGATTTAAAAAAATTTTTGGTTACTAACTTGAAAATCTTATTTTTCTATCTGGCAATATAAGACTGTTTTACTGATACAAGATTACTATCACTCCTAGTTTTCCTGAAGTTGAAAGATATATATCCTTCATTGGTTAGCTTACTTTTTCCTGGCATCCACCCAAGAAAAAAGCTGTGTTGGTTATGTCAGTGTGCGCATTCACTCCCACGCTTGAGGTTACCGCCATAAAAATGGCTGGAGCTCGGTTACATTTATGAGAATCCCTTTTTATCCAAAGATAAGACATTATGAAACAGTAATGTCCAAATATTATTAGTGCCAATTTAGGGTAGGACAACAAGAAGACTTTGGGGAAAGGTCACCACTTTGAATGAGTGACCTCTAATACATACAAACATATCCTTTTCAGATTATTTCTCGTATGTAACTTTTTTAAAAGCAATTTTCAAATTAAAATTTTGTCTGCGCACTTTTGGGATGCGTGTATACATAAATGAAAAATATCATATTCAAGCAAGGTTATTTTCATCTACGACACTTACTACACTATCTTTTTTATGTTTCTGCAGATCAAAGTGTTGCCTGTTTCATTTATTATCTTTTAATAATTAGAATGTCTTATTCTGTAACTAAAGCACTTTGGAAAATAGTAGTCACAATATTCGAAAGTCCTAAAGCTTGAATTCCAACAGAAATTTGGAAGTCCCCAAAATACATCTGGAGCAAAAATATGCACTAATAAAACAGTAACAACAGCACAAAGCTGACAGAAGACAGTACCATGAAATGTGGAAGATCAGGACTTCGGCATAGTTAGCAACAAAGTCCCTGGGATTAGAAGGAAAAGCTCTTCCTAAAGAAGCCGCCTCCGTGGAAAGGTTTCACATGAGCGTCCTCAGGGTCCTCTGTGAACTTTGCAGACTAATGACTTCCGTGCGAGAAGAGGAGGGAGGTAATCACCAGTGTAGATAGAGTTCAGAAACACAGAGGGATTTAAAAATGTACGTCACTCTACTAAATCCTCTGTAGAAACCACTGCAATACCAAGGTAGACTGTAAAGAGTGAACCAACAGAATTGTAACCCTAGGAGCTTCCAACACTTTTCATGGACAGGCATGAAATAATTGAAATTTGTGGCTTGCCAGCTATATGTTGTTGTATATCACTGAATTCTCTGTTGCATCTTAAGGAATATAAATTATGTTAATTCCTACCGTTGGTGAATATAGAGGGAAATGATGATGAACAGCTGTCTCCTGTGAATGAACCTTGAGCCCAAAATAATAGCACACAGGTCCATGTCACATTGCCTGTGCCACCACTGCTCTATGGCTTTCAGTGAATAAACTCACAGCGTTGTGATGTGGACACTAACACTGTCACTCTACAGATGAGGAAACTGGGGCTCAGAGAGGGTTAATAATTTACCCAGCATCACAGAGCAACTACATGGCAGTGCCAGGATTTGAAACAGGGCAATCCAACTGCAGAGTCCGTGCCCTTCACCAGCACACTGTGAGGCCCTTATGGCAGTTGTGAGTCTTGGGCAATGTGAGCCCACACTGCCAGTCCCCCTTCTTCAGGGACCACATAATCTCCTGCTTGATGATCTGTTTAATGACCTGGCAGTCAGGCCACTTATATGTGCTTGCTTGGAAATGTGTTCATAAACTATTCTGGGATGAATTTTAGGACTGCTCAGGTAGCCAAGAATAGCAACCAAGATGGAACTTAGTTTTTATAATACGACATAAGAACAATATTACTCTTTACAAGTATAGCTCAGGCTAAATATTTAAACCCTGATATGAATTCTTAGTCTTGTGGTTAACAATGCCAAGTGAGGCAGAGGAATTAAACAACTTTTCTTGTACCATCACTAACTCAATTGGTGCAGAGATGGAATCATGGGGCTGGGGGGGCCTTGGATAGAGCTCAGAGCACTAATGTAGGCCTCAGTGCAGCAGTGCACTTTTCTGCCTCTGGTCACAGGTGAGGCAGTGGCCAAGGTGGGCTGGATTCTTGGCTTTTAAGATTTCATCCAGTTCTCTTCTCCATTATGTAAGAATGTTTGCATCATACACTTAGGGTTGCATTTTAATGAAAAGAAATAAAAAACCCATGCTCATTCATTCAGGATGGTTCCTTGAAGGTGCAACCAAGGGTAAGTCACACCACGTGGGCTTCCCTGTACAATGATCAGTCCCACCGGACACACAAATATCCAAACATAAACAGGTTAGAGGCAATCTTTTTCTCATTTTCTTCTTTCCCTTCCCCCAAGCCCCCATTAAATCGGAGCTAGGACTCAGTATAATGCAGCTATCCCAAGGGCAGTGACTCTAGAATTACTTCCATTGTTACTTTCAGATTTTGGTTGGTCTTGGACTTGGAGGTGGTGGTCATGGCTGTGTTCCACAGGTCCTCAGCAGTATGGCCATAGTGGAGCTAAATACTGAACTACTTTCATACCAATCAGTAAACAGCTACTTGCCTCCAAAGCCCCATTCCTGCCCTGATCTAGGGCAAACTATGACACTACAATAGTAAAAGGCTGATAGTAAACACAGAGAAGCCTCCAGAGCGTAGGTGTGGCAGCACTTAGCCCCTTGTGGTATTCTGTCCTTACTCAGTTGTCAAATATATTAAATAACATCCTTGGCTAAGATGAATACCAAAGGGTGAAAAAAGTACAAAACGGCGAAATCCATTCTAAGAACAAATCTGAATGAACATTACAACTGTCCTGAACACAAGTGTATACTTAGCATGAGGTGAGGGCCGGTCCCTGACCTCCTGGACAATCCTTCCCCAAATCCCTATGGAATACAGAGGACATCTCTCCAGGGCACCGGGCCCAGGGCACCTGTTTGCCTGCGGCAGGAATGACTACTCCATTAACAATTTCCAGTAGAGATTCACTACCTGCACTTCAAATGCTCTGCCTAGTCTGAATCCAAGACCAACCAAAATCTGAAAACAACAATGAAAATCATTCTAGAGGCACTTCTGTTGGAATAGCTGCATTAGACTGAGTTCTAGCTCTGATTTAATGGGGGGG